ACGATGACAACACTAACGACAACAACACTAACGATGACAACACTAACGACGACAACACTAACGATGACAACACTAACGATGACAACACTAACGACAACAACGCTAACGACGACAAAGCTAACGATGACAACACTAACGATGACAACACTAACAATGACAACACTAACAATGACAACGCTAACGATGACAACACTAACGATGACAACACTAACGATGACAACGCTAACGACGACAACACTAACGATGACAACACTAACAATGACAACACTAACGACGACAACACTAACGATGACAACACTAACGACGACAACACTAACGACAACAACACTAACGACTACAACACTAATGATGACAACACTAACGATGACAACACTAACGACGACAACACTAACGATGACAACACTAACGACGACAACACTAACGACATCACTAACGATGACAACACTAACGATGACAACACTAACGACGACAACACTAACAACAACAACAACACTAACGATGACAACACTAACGATGACAACACTAACGACGACAACACTAACAACAACAACGCTAACGACGACAACACTAACAATGACAACACTAACAACAACACTAACGACGACAACGCTAACGACGACAACACTAACTACGACAACACTAACGACGACAACACTAACGATGACAACGCTAACGCTGACAACACTAACAATGACAACACTAACGATGACAACACTAACGACGACAACACTAACGACATCACTAACGATGACAACACTAACGACGACAACACTAACGATGACAACGCTAACGATGACAACGCTAACGATGACAACACTAACAACGACAACACTAACGACGACAACGCTAATGACGACAACACTAACGATGACAACACTAACGATAACAACACTAACAACAACACTAACGACGACAACACTAACGATGACAACACTAACGATGACAACACTAATGATGACAACACTAACGACGACAACGCTAACAATGACAACACTAATGATGACAGCGCTAACGATGACAACACTAACCACGACAACACTAACGATGACAATGCTAACGATGACAACGCTAACGATGACAACACTAACGACAACAACACTAACGATGACAACACTAACGATGACAATGCTAACGATGACAACGCTAACGATGACAACGACGACAACACTAACGATAACAACACTAACGATGACAACACTAACGATGACAACACTAACGACGACAACACTAACGACAACAACAGTAACGATGACAACACTAACGACGACAACACTAACGATGACAACACTAACGACAACAACACTAACGATGACAACACTAACGATGACAACACTAACGATGACAACACTAACGACAACAACACTAACGATGACAACACTAACGACAACAACACTAACGATGACAACACTAACGATGACAACACTAACGACAACAACGCTAACGACGACAAAGCTAACGATGACAACACTAACGATGACAACACTAACAATGACAACACTAACAATGACAACGCTAACGATGACAACACTAACGATGACAACACTAACGATGACAACGCTAACGACGACAACACTAACGATGACAACACTAACAATGACAACACTAACGACGACAACACTAACGATGACAACACTAACGACGACAACACTAACGACAACAACACTAACGACTACAAAACTAATGATGACAACACTAACGATGACAACACTAACGACGACAACACTAACGATGACAACACTAACGACGACAACACTAACGACATCACTAACGATGACAACACTAACGATGACAACACTAACGACGACAACACTAACAACAACAACACTAACGATGACAACACTAACGATGACAACACTAACGACGACAACACTAACAACAACAACGCTAACGACGACAACATTAACGATGACAACACTAACAACAACACTAACGACGACAACGCTAACGACGACAACACTAACTACGACAACACTAACGACGACAACACTAACGATGACAACGCTAACACTGACAACACTAACAATGACAACACTAACGATGACAACACTAACGACGACAACACTAACGACATCACTAACGATGACAACACTAACGACGACAACACTAACGATGACAACGCTAACGATGACAACGCTAACGATGACAACACTAACAACGACAACACTAACGACGACAACGCTAATGACGACAACACTAACGATGACAACACTAACGATAACAACACTAACAACAACACTAACGACGACAACACTAACGATGACAACACTAACGATGACAACACTAACGACGACAACACTAACAACGACAACACTAACGACGACAACACTAACGACGACAACACTAACGACGACAACACTAACGACGACAACACTAACGATGACAACACTAACGATGACAACACTAACGATAACAACGCTAACGACGACAACACTAACGATGACAACACTAACGACGACAACACTAACGATGACAACACTAACGACGACAAAACTAACAATGACAACACTAACGACGACAACGCTAACGACGACAACGCTAACGACGACAACACTAACGATGACAACACTAACGACGACAACGCTAACGACGACAACGCTGGCCCAGCATCGGCGCTGGCACCCCGTGTGTGTGCCCCCCCCCGACCCCCCCCCCCCCACCCCCCCCCCCCCCCCCCCCCACACACGGGCGACGCACGGCACTCACCCTGGCCGGCCTCGCCACAGTCAACGGTGAAGTAGGTCGGCTCGTGGGCCTTGACCTTGCCGGACTCCACGCCCGGACCGTACACCCTCACTCGCTCTGGGTGGCACCCCTCCCCGACGGTCACCTGCGACAGGGCGGCCGCTCGACTCACACGGGGCAGTGGTCATTCTGCAGAGAAATCTGGGCCATGCCGCGGGAATGTGGAATTTCCCGGCACCGAGTTCAGGGCCACGAAGCGAGGCGAGAGCACCGTCTCGCGCACGTTTCGGCAGAGCGGCACTCGTACGGACTTTGAGTTGAAAAGGTTGATGCTTGGACGTGCTTTGTGGATTGGTAATCACGTGGATTCTAGATATCACGATACACTTTCTACATAATCCAACGAACAATAATATCTTTTTTTTAAAAAATAATCGTGCTTCCCCTAGGTTAACTAAGCCTATAATACGTACAAAGTATCGTGGCATTGTCAATGTCAACATCTGGCAATCGCTTGTCTGTGGTACTGGTCCCGCACGTTTCCACGCGTGTTAATAATTGGAATACATCATCCCAAAGGCAATATATGCGTGCCAATAGCCCATGTTGAATTGGTGTAATGTCTGGGCTAAAGGAGGCTCCCTGTCCGGCCCGCGAGGCTGTACCCGGAAGGGGCTGTCGGGGATGTTGACCCCAGCCCAGGTGACGATGATCGTGTGCTTGATGGGCTTCTCCGGGGTGTAGCAGCACTCGTAGATCCCACCGGGCCTCTCCGCCACCTGCACGGCCACCGGCTGTCCCTCCACGTCCTGCGGATCAAACATCAACCCCCCCCCAATAAAAACGACGACGTCATTCGGCGTCACTAGCCGGGCGGCGGTGGCTGTGCGGAGGCGAAGGCTGGCGGATCCCTCAAATTTTGAGAAACTTCCCTTCCCACAGGTGTCATGGAGGAGCCATTGCTTTGGCTGGCCAGGATAAGGCGGTACAGTAGAGTGCAGACTGATAGTATCTGATGAAGCCAGTTGGAATTACTGGCGAAACGTCGTACTCAGGTTGTCAATGTTGTGGCTTAGCTCTCCAACACGCCGGTGTGCTGTAGTAGTACACTACACTATACACTACACTATACACTACACTACTATACACTAAACTACTACACACTAGTGCTGTACTAGTGACGAATTGGCAAGTTCTGTTTACGTGGCAACCCTTACTAGTTGGCTGTGTCAGGTGGTGGCAGGTTTAACGACACATTTATATATTTACGCGGTCTAACAAAAAAAAACCTGTATTATGTATAATACCGTATGTGCCTTCTCTATGGGATAGAGTGTTTTCCCCTTGCATGCATGGGTTTTCTCTGGGTGTTAATGTTTCTTCCCACATGTATAAACACTAATTGGCTGAAAAAAATATGAATATATCGAGGACTGCAGAACTTGGACAATTGTTGGCACTGGCTGACCGCCTGGCTGCCTTCCCACTTGTCTGTGGTTCATAAACAATTGTGAGATGCAATTTGTGTGATCGACATTTCATAAAACCAAACATTATCATTATTCTATTCATCCAGGAAGGGTTCACGCAGTCAGAACTCTGTATTCAGCAGGGTGCCGCAATTAGGTGATCAACCAATTCCTTTTTAATCGGTGTTATTTCGAATTTGCGAATCCGTGGGAAAATCACAGTGCCCAGAGAAAGTGCACTAATAAGAGTGGATAGCACTACAACTGCACAGATAATAAATAAACTACTTGCCGCATGGCCTAATGCACGGCTGGTTAAATAAGGAACACATTATGAAACAAAAATGATAGAAATGAGGAATTAATCAACACTGCGACCGAAATCTGCATTTTTATCGTATTCAGTTATCAGGTTTGTAAGGGCAAAACAATTACCCAGCGGCGAATGTACAACTCAGGAAAATACAAAGCTAGAACCAAACCATTTTATTATTTTTTTTACTCCCACGTGGCAGTGGAGGTGAGTTCACCTGCAGGTAGACTTTGAGGTTCCCTTTTCCCCCTGCTCGGGCGTCCACGCTAAAGTGTGTGGGCATGCTCACGACACAAGAGTTGGCATCCAGCCCCGGGCCACTCGCCAACACCTGCACCAACGAACAAACGGAATCAACATTTATTCACACCGGAGGAATCCGATGAGCTATGAAGCTCTCTTTCACAGATGTCCAGTAGGGGCGGCTCAGAACGTAGCAACAACAAACAAAATACGAAAGTATAGGAGAGGTAAACAAATCACTTTAACAACATTTTTTTTTAATCTTACCACTGAGGTGTTAACTTATTTTCCAGAAGTGACCGGGCATCACATATGATAGCGCAACAAAGTGGCTTATCATGTTAACATTTATAGCAGCAAAATTCTCTAAATGCATGTTCCTAAACGTGGAGGGGAAAAGAAAAACCAGTGGACGCGGAGCAAAAAAATCCACGCGGGTGCCACCAAGAAAGAAGAGGTGCTGCTGAGATGTGGCGGAGCGAAACAACTTTTCAGGGTGGCAGGAGCTCGGCAAGAGTGGGCTGAGCAAGTTGGGGGGGGGGTGGTTGTGGGGTAGTTGGTGGGTAGTGGTGGTGCAGTCGAGAGCGAGACAGGACACGGAAAGCCGGGCAGAAGACACACGCAGAGAGACGTGGCAAGAGGCGAAGAGGTGAGCCGAAAGGCAGACGATATGAAAGACAACACAAGAAGATCCATGAGAGGTGTTTTGTTGGGTTACATCGCGTAAACATAAATGTGTCGTTAAACCTACCACCACCCGACACAGCCAATTAGTAAGGTTTGTCATGTAAAAAAAAAGTGTGCCAATTCGTTACGAGTTCAGCACACCGGTGTGTTGGAGAGTAAACCTGCAGCAGTTACAAAGCCCGGAGGGTTTACTCTCCAACACACAAGTATATTGAATCAGTCACAAATTGGCATATTTTTTTTACGTGAAAAACCTTACTGATTGACTATGTGTTGGGTGGTGGCGGGTGCAACAACACATTTAAATTTATGCGATCTAACCCAACAAGCCTCTATTATGGATAAGTCGCGAACGCCGACGTGTTAAAGAGACAAGAAGAGATGTGGAGACAGACATGGGGACGGGTACAAAGAGACGGAGAGCAACAGACGGTCGGATATGGAGATCGGTACAGAGATACATGAAGCGAATCACTGCTCTATCACTGACACTATTGCCACGCATTGTGCTTCGTGAAACAACTTCAAATTTTAGGGGCAATGCCCAGGTTAAATAAAGTCGCGATATTGACCAGGGCGGCCGCCGGGCCTCGAACCGCGAACCTCCGCGACGAGCGACGATCGCGCTCCACCGCTGCGAACGGCCAAGGTTGTTTTTTTGTTTTTGTTTTGAGGGGTTGAGGCGCGCGAGGCAGGCCGGGGAGTGGCGGTTTAGCGCTGGGGCGGTGACGAACCCTCTCGGGGAAGCAATCCCTGCTGGCGGGGAGGATGTGAGCCATGAAGGGGCTGAGCGCGACGTCCTCCTCGTCGCACAGCACGTGCACCGCGTAGTCGCCGGGCTCCGTGGGGACGTAGCGCACGTCGCACGAGCCGTCCCCGCGGTCGTCGCACGCGATGCGCGCCTGCGACGGGCCCTCGATCGAGAAGCCTGCGACGAGAAGGAGAGGGGCAAGGAACGGATCCCTCCGTGGGTTCAGCGTCCAGAGAGGTGTTCGGGACCGCTGCCGCTGATTGGCTGATTGATAGCGGGAGGCAAGTGCAAGGGAGCGAACTGGACTGGCAATGATCATCACTGTGGGCATCATCATCGTAACCGCGCGCCTCCGATTAGCACGGTTGGCTAGGTATGGTGCGAAAGAAGTTCAGCTACGTACAACATACGTAAGCAACAGAATCGCTGACAACATTATCGTGTACATCCAACGATACATTGCTGGATGAGGGTGTTCCCAACACCGTGCGGATTGAGGTTGTTTGACCATGCTTGGTCGCACCGGTCGGTACAGTTCAATAATACATTTTACTGCACTACCCTTTCCTGCTCACCACATAGCCCCACAGCCTTGAACAGTCTGTGTTGCATAGTGGTGGCCCATCCAAGCGCTATCCAGGCTCAAACCTGCTTAGCTTCTGGGATTTGGCCAGATCTGGTGCATTCCACCGTCATCACGATCATCATCATCATCACTGTCATCATCACTCCCATCACCCAAATCGTCGTCACGGTCACCACCGTCGTCACCGCACCCAGGGTGCCGACGTCGGTGCCGATGGCCTCCACCACGAAGTCTGCGGAGCGGCCGGCCATGCCGGTCTCCAGGCCGGGCCCCCAGGCACGCACCTTCTGCGGCCCGGCCTCGGCCGACACGAGCACCTCGAAGGGGCTGCAGCACCACGCACACACGCAACGACACAAACAACAAAGTTCAACATACACCACACCTACACCGTCAGCCACGAATGTGTGTGAGCGGCGTGTGTGTGAGCGGAGTGTAGGGAAGGGCTCGTGTAGCGGTTAGCACGCCGCGCAACAAACCGATTCCTGCTCACGGCCACCACCAGTGACAATTATCCTGGGTCACCCCTAGGTCGACTCAGCCTCAAATGAGTTACTGCTGTGAGAAGCAAAGGCGGCCAGGCGTGGTGCTGACCACCCAACCCCTTCGTGTGCCGTGCCGGCCTTCACAGGTGCTGCTCGCTAACAGCACTTGCCCCCAACAGTCTGTTACAGGCTACACGGGGGGACCCTTACGCGGTCCGTCTCACATACCGAAGACATTCGCGGCAACCACGCGAGTGTGTCTGTATCGGGCCCATGACGTTCATGTAACGTCAATGCACCGCGTCTCCCCGACGAAGCACACTGCCGGGCGTCACGCAGCATACGAGCGCGCAACGTGCGCTTGGTGCGACAGGCGTGAGACTCCTCCACTCACTCACCTGCGGGGGATGTGCTTTCCGCCCCACGTGATGGTGATGACATGGGGCCCCAAAGCGAGGGGTTTGTACTCGAACTCGTGAACGCCTTCCCCGACCTCCCGGTGCCTCATCGGCTCCTCCCCGCCTGGGATGCACGCGGGCGGACAGGATGGCACTCGCGACACCAGGGACAGAGGATACGTTGTGTCCCCAACACCACCACCACCACCACCACACCCGGAACGTCTGTTTCCCCAAAGGTAAATGTTCATTCTCCCGAGGCACCGATTTTAGGGAATGTTTGGACACCATTATTGTTTGTTGTCATAAAATAATATCAATTGCTTACCTGTCAACCCATGCGGTTTGCAGGGAAATTGAGTAAAAAAATAAATAAAGTGGTTTGTCTATTTGTGATGGGGCTTTGTAGGATGAACGTTGAGATTTGTAAAGGCACGGGGTGACCAATGAGGTCTGTATTGGTCTGTAATAATGTAGGGCACCGATAAGGGATTGACAGGTTTGCAATTTGCATATATAGCCATGCATTCTCAACTCAGACCTTAAATGTAGGCCCAATTCCCAGAGTTATTTATGAAACAGTCGCTCAGTTTGCTTTCAGTGTAGTGTCACATTTGCATACCACTTGTTTGGTCCTAACATTGTCTGAACCAATGCGCCTGTAACTTTTTCAACTACTCCTCACTAACCTGCCTCAGAAAAACCTCACCGTAAATCTAACACTGAAATGTGTTCGCTGATAGGAACAAATGTTAATTCCCTCAGGGTGAAAATTTGTTCGGCACTTCGAACATTTATTCTGGAGGGGACAAGTCTTAGTTTACACATACCAAAATCTGGGCGCCACCAAAACCACTTATCGCACTTTAATCGCAATACGTTAAATCTACGCTTTTTCTCTCTTAGATTTCATCAGCAAATTATTTCGGAAGTCACATAATGCACGGTCTCCGGGCAGCGAGATTACCAGTGCGTGACAACTCGTGGGCGACATTTGGTTCCGTCTCGGCGTGGACGTTCAAAAGAGTCCAGCGACAGCTGTGGAGATGTCCGAACGCTTGCCTGGTCCCAGCGATCCGTGAGATTTTGCCGCCTGAGCGCGAGGTCACGGGAATTGCTCCAAATGCATCGATTCTCACGACAAATGAGCGAGACTCGAGAGTTCTGCATGGAGTGGGATAAATTAACTTTTGGAACTCTCCCTTGTCAGTCGAGCAACATGTGACATCAGAGAATGGCACTGGAGGATGCCACAGAGCCGCATTGGCGAGTCATTCCCGCACGGTTGACTATGCACGACGCGAAAGAAGTTCAACATGCGTTACATTACAGTAACGCTCTCTTATTCACCAGTAGACAGAGCTCGTTACAAGAATGATTCACCGTATGTCATTCATCCCATGTGTTTTTTTTTACTGCCCGGATTTTAACCGGTGGTGCTGCCCCAGCAAATTTTGAACAGGCGTGGTACTATCCCCACGAGCCACCCAGCAACCACAATTCAAACAATGGTGAATGAGTTTGATAAGTGCTTCTCAAACCCCAGCCCCCCCCGAAAAACAACCCACCACATGTCACAAGTCCAGGTTCGCCGATCTTCAAAAAGATGCCAAGTTTCGATTTAAAGCTTTCGTGACTGCAAGGATCCATCTTCTTTGGTTCTTTCGGTAAAGTCACGTAGAATGAGAATAAAATAATAAATTAATAAAATAAAATAACGTCGTGAGCATTTTATCGTGTTATTTTATTAATTTATTATTTTATTCTCATTCTATGTGACTTTACCGAAAGAACCAAAGAAGAAGATACCGAGTTATCGCGCGCTGCGCTCATCTGACTGAATGATGGTGAATTCACCAGCAGCGGCATTGCAACTCTCACCCTGGCTCCTGTGCCCATGTGGAGGTCACGTATTCACTCGCGCAGCCAACGTGACACACGCCCTTGCCGAATCAAATCCCATCATGGCAGAACATACAGGCCGATTTTTAATTCCTTCCCGCACCTCCGCCAGTAGGGAAGCCCTGATTGAACGGAGCTCGCGTTCTGCGGCGAGCGAGCGATCGATGGAGCGCGAGGCGAGACGGGGGGGGGGGGTGTGGGCGGCGAAGTGGCCGGACTCACGAGGGTTCCTGAGCAGCACGTTGAGCTCCCCGGAGCCGGCCTGCTTGGTGAGGACGCGAAAGCCGGCGGCGTCGCCCACGCGCACGCCCCTCGACTGCAGGCCCCGACCCGATGCTCTGCAGGCGCCCGGGTTGCAAGCTGAGGTGTGGGACCGACGGGGAAGGGGAGGGGGGGGGCACGCGTGGTGGCGATGGTAGGAGTGGTGGTATTGGTAGTAATGTTGGTGGGACCAGTGGCGGTGGTGATATTAGCGGTGGCATTGGAAGCATGAGTGGAAGCGATGGTGGTGGAGATGATTGTTGTTGTGATGAGGATTGGATAAAAACAATATTAATTGATGCACTCTCATTACCAGACATTGCTCATCACAATTACCATCAACAAACATTGCCCATAACTTGCAAATTCACCAATTGCCGGAAGCAGGATTAATAATGCAGAAATGCACTGGCTGTGAGCCTGAACTTACAAATGCACATGGTTTGCACTCAATAATTTTTTGTACTAGGAATTAGAAAAAAAATATATACAACCAGACCAAGACACACAGGAGACTAATGCACATTACATGAAACGTTACGTAGGACCGGGCACTGAAAAGTTAGACCCAACCGAAGCGATGTAAGTGTACGAGCGTTGTACACAGACTCACTGAACCACACTAACTTACGCTGAACATTATTTGGTGATGCTGTTGCTGCGTTGACAGTGGCGCACGAGCACAATCATCAACAGCAAAAAGAAACTCATGACATTCGTCTATAAAATCGACAACGTTTTGGAAAATGGCCCTTCCCCATAGCACGGTCACGCTACGGTCGGACCCACGTGCATGGGGGCAGGGGGCTCGTAGGCCCGGGCTTCCACGCACCCTCGCCGATGTTCACCGAGAAGGGGCTGTGTGGCACGGCCGCGCCCGCGTAGCCCACGGACACGATGTGGGGGCCGGGCACCAGGGGCCGGTACGTGCAGCGCAGCACCGCGTCGCGCCTCTGCTCCAGCGTCATCTCGACGGCGTCGCGACGGCCCCGCGGGTCCAGCACGGTCACCGCCACGTCGCCCACTCCGGCGCCTGCGCCGTCGCCACACGGCAACCACGGTGGCTAGGAGATGTTAACTCCCTCGCCTGGTATGCAGGAGGTCGTGGGTTCGATCCCGACCCTGACGCCTGCTGCTGCTGCTGTATATTTGGAGTTTGTTTGTCTCTCTCCGCTCGTGATTGCTTGGATTTTTCTCCGGGGCCTCCGGTTTTCCCCTCCACATTTATACACATTCGTTTAGAGCAGCGGTCCACAACCTTTTTTGCACCTGGGACCGGTTACGTGGAAGACAATTTTTTCACGGACCGGGGGGGGGGTTCGTCATTGGGTTTTTCCCCCTTTTCAAAGAAGCTCTCCAGCAACGTTTGTTTTTTACTCATTTTGGCTACTAGGGTTAGCTTGTGGGCTTACCAACACTGTGACTGAGACAAGTGCGCAGTGCGGGAAAGAGTCGCGGACGGAAGTGGTAAATAATAAAATAATGGGGCGGGTTCCACGCGCGGACTCACCGCTCTCACCTCCTGCTGCTGCTGTGCGGGCCGGTTCCTAACAGGCCACGGACCGGTACCGGTCCGTGGCCCGGGGGTTGTTGACCCCTGGTTTAGAGTATTTGGCTGCCATTAATTTCCACTTGATAAGTCACTTTGTTGAGCTATCATTTGCGGCCAGGTCTTACCTGGTAATTTTTTTTTAAATGTGTTTAGTTTAACATGGCACGCGGGGCCAGAGAGCTCCCATTCACGCCGGAGCAGTGCCGCAGCGTATACCGACACCGTTTGGTTTGCCGACTGCCACCGGTGTACGTACTGCTGCTAGCAAGGTACCGAACGTGGCAGGGCAGTCGTACTCATGGTGCAGTGGGAGGTAGCAGTGACGGACGCTGTAGCAGTGGCCACAGCTTTAGGGGGCTTCACGCCTTCGTCAATGCACACTCAGCAGGCATCGCAAAAATGCCAGATTCAAATCCAGAAAGACACCCGCGATTAAACTGGGGCTCTCAGGCACAGCGAGTTGAGAGTGTTGGCCCCAGTCACCAATGAGTGAACATTTAAAAAAAAAATCCATGATGTTAAATGTGTTGTTTAAATTAATTCTGCTAATTCCACCTCTGAGACGTTTAATATGTTGTTTCGCTTGACACATGACAAACACTCCGTGTAGACCACCCTGTATAAACGATGTGCCCCTCATGTAGATGAACAGGCCAATTGCAGATAGAGTACTGCACAAGTTCTGCGTGGTGCACTGCTCACTGCTAAATATCTGAACGTAATTTAAAAAATTTGCAACGCGATTACGCGACGCAAAATCGGAATGTGACCGACACGAAAGAAGCGAAGTGAAAATAACAATCGTCAACGAACAAAATACACGAACGACAAACAACAATGACCCAAAATTGCGTAATCGTCTAAGCCCACCCCTACACCAGCCCCCCCCCCCATACCGGCGGTGCAGATGTCGAAGTAGGTGGCCTTGCCGGCCACGTTGCCACTCGGCTCCACGCCGGGCCCGCGGGCCGTCACTTTGCCGGCGTCCCCGTGGGGCGGTGCCACGAGCACGGGGAAGGGGCTGCGGTCTATGTGCTGCCCCGCGAACAGCACCGTCACCTGCCGGGGTTGGTGGACCGGGGCGAGACCAAAGGAGATGGAGAGCGCGACACACACACACACAGAGAGAGAGAGAGGAGTTCGAGTGAACGCGCGAGCCGCGGATCTCTCCAGGCCCACCGGGTGTTTTTGTTGCTGTGAGAGCGACAGCCATCCATTACACGACAAACACAATAAATTGGACAATATTTAAAAAATGTAACACCGGATAAAGCAAACACAAAACAACCAAGTAACACGATCTTACAAATGGTCGATGAGGTGATTACAGCGGTGGTGTGCATTGTGTGCTGTGCACAGTCTCGTTTGGGCAATTGATCCTTGTTGCGGCACCCCGGGCAACCAAATAATACAAAATGCCCGAGGCAATTAAGTATTTTATTTCTGGGACACTATATTTTTTTTACAGGGGTGTTACTTAACTCTGCGACTGGGGCACTAATCGATCCGAAATCAGTGCCACTCGGCGATGTCGAAACGCCAAACATTATAGCATAAAAAAAATCCGTTATCGAAAAATTCTGCTTTGAAGAGTGCATCGTGAGTACAGCTCGTCGAGATGAGTCGATTGCCGCATCGCCGACCATCAACAGACTCAAAAGCGACTGCATCACGGACGTTCCGCGAGAGCCGGGGTACAGCCATGAGGTTCAATTAGGCAGGCAGGTGTGCTGGCCAGGTTGGTCCAGTGAGGCCGATGGGTTCAGTCAGTCCGGGTGTGAGCGGAAAGTGCGAACCCGACTGTGAGCAGAGGAGCATCAATTCTCCGGGGCAATATGAATTGACCACCACTTTTTCCAAGAGTCCGCCGTGCTCGTCTTACGGACAGACTCGCCGTCGCCGTGGAAGAATGTCACGTGCGCCGCTGTCAGAGGCCCACGGATGGAGATTTTACACATATATTTGTTTAAAACTTAAAATTATTACGTCATTTTGTTGTCGGAAAACATTAAAATGAAACGCCAGAGATGATGACCACGTTCGAAAGACATTTTTGCGAAACAGACGGTACGATTACCGTGGACGTCATATCGTACGATATACAATCGTATCGCTACAATCCTGAAGCAAATAACGAGGTGGGGACTGCCCCGTGGTCTTGGTGATCCCAAGGAGCCCTGTGCTGATTCTGCTTGCAGCAGCAGCGGCAACAACAACAACAACTTGCCTTGTGGGGCCCCGCCACGCGGGGGCGGTAAACAGCCACAAAGGAGCGCTGTTTGTCGTTCCTGGGTGTCACCCGCGCCTGCTCCCCATCGCACACACGACCCCGATCAGAGTCAGCAACACCAGCAGCAGTGGTCACATCGTCGGTAGCAGAAGTCACAACATCAGTCGCAGAAGCAGTAGTCACAGCATCGGTAGCAGAAGTCACAACATCAGTCGCAGAAGCAGTAGTCACAGCATCAGTAGCAGTAGTCACAGCATTAGTAGCAGAAGCAGTAGCCACATCGTTAATAGCAGAAGCAGTCACACCAGCAGCAGTGGGGAGCGGTAGTCACAACATCAGTAGCAGTGGGGAGCGATAGTCACAACATCAGCAGCAGTGGGGAGCGGTAGTCACAACATCAGTAGCAGTGGGGAGCGGTAGTCACAACATCAGTAGCAGAAGCAGTAGTCACAACATCAGCAGCAGTGGGGAGCGGTAGTCACAACATCAGTAGCAGTGAGGAGCGGTAGTCACAACATCAGTAGCAGAAGCAGTAGTCACAACATCAGTAGCAGTGGGGAGCGGTAGTCACACCACCAGCAGCAATGGGGAGCGGTAGTGTCGTGGTTAGTGCGCTGCACTCTGAACCCTGCCACCCGAGTTCTATTCCCGCTCACGGCCAACACCGTTGGCGATTATCTGAACCATTCCTGGGC